ACAAAGCATAGATGAGGACAGCGGGGAGGAGACTGCTGAAGGGACAGAAAAAGCTGTATTTAAACAGTTGTGTTGGCTTTTCTGTAGGGGAAAAAAAAAAAAAAAAAAAGATAATTCTCAGAGCGCTCTTTTCTGCCAGAACACTGGCACTTTGCAAATGCTGCCAACACAAACCCTGAGAGCAAGCCAGCTGATATCAGCTGAGCAAGGACATGGTGGGACTTTGGACATTTTATCCATTCCTCTCCTAACAGATGTCCTTTTGTCTGGGCCATTTGGGCAGATCAAGCCCATAAGTAAAAGCAGAAGGCTGCTTAAGGAAGGTGTGTTGTGAGTCTGCAATCGAAGTCATATATCACCAAAGTTACAGGAATATATAACCGAACTCAAGATAAGAACCAGGTTTGCAACCTGTCTCAAATGAAACAGGGCATTTACTGTACGGGATATGTTGTGAGATAAATGCACTCCTGGCATAAGGGAACATCCCACCCGTTATTGTCTGGGGCTTCACCACCATCATTTGTGAGAGGGAACCCAGCAGGGCATTGCAAGGCATTTTGGCTGGAGGCAGCCAATGCAGCCTGGCCTAGGCTGGTGGTAAGGAAAAGCAATTCTTCCCCATGAGCAGACTCACATCCTCACCTAGATTCAATGAACTGGATGATTCCTGTGTAGCTCAAGCAAACGATGCACCACAAAACTCACCATGGAAACTGGCAGGCAGAGCAGATGCTGGGCACTGAGGCTGTGGTTGCTGTGTCTGCTGTGAGATCTGGGTGCTGCCAGGTCACAGTAACCATGGCTCAGGTCAGCCGTCAGACTCTGCGTTGTGTTTCCCAGAGTTGTGCTAGTCAGAGCTTGCAATGCTGCCATAACTGCTTATTTTATGATTTTATACTCACTATGAGGGGAGTGGTGGGGGCTGGGGACACATGGAATTGCATGGTAAGTCAAACGACACCTGATCTAGCACAAAGCCTTTTGGCACAAAAATTAACATGGATGAATTTTTAGATTAAATCAGAATCTGAAAAGTAATTTTAGTGCAGATCAACCCTCTGCATCGAGCAGCTCTGCTGTTTTCAGGCTGCCACTGGAAGCCAGATGAAAGCTGTTTGGTGCCATCAGGCCATATCACAGAATCACACAATGGCTGAGGTTGGGAAGGGAACACCTAAAGGTCATCTGGTCCACCACCACCACCACTCCCCAAGCAAGGACACCAGAGCAGGTTGCCCAGGACCACATCCAGAGACTCCACAAACTCTCTGGCGCTGTAAGGTCTCCTCAGAGCCTTCTTTTCTCCAGGCTGAACAACCCCAACTCCCTCAGCCTGTTTTTGTAGGAGAGGTGCTCCAGCTCCTTGAGCATCTTTGTGGCCCTCCTCTGGACTCATTCTAATATTTCCATGTCCTTCTTGTGCTGAGGGCCCCATGCCTGGTGTCAGGACCAGCATATCCTGGTGCCTGGGGTTCTTCCCCGGGTGCACGACTGCAGTTCTCGTTGTTAAACTATCTTAGGAAATTTTTCTGTGCCAGATTTTGCAGAGCAGGATGATGCTGCGGGGAGCACTCATGCAGACTCCAGTGAGCTGTACTGGCCCTGGGTGCTGTTCTTCTAGCTATTTGCACTGTGCAAGCTATCCCTGCCCTAATGAAAGATCAGAAAAAGGAGAAAGCCACTGTCCCGGGCAGACAGTTTACCAGTATCTTTCAGCAGATACATGCCATTTTCAAAGAACAAGCATTACACAGGTCAGAGAATTTCTAGACCAGGCCTGTGGTTGGTGGTGTTTGGGTTTAAAGTGGCAGACAAATAAGATAATGACCCTCTGGCCTGCTCACTCCCTTTTTGCGGTAGAGGAATTTCTCAAATTTCTCAAAGGTCTTGCTTCTGAGGAAGAAAGGAAATTGATTTAGGGCTTACCACTTTTTTTTTTCTTCTTCTTCTGTTTTTTTTTTTTTTAATTTATTTTTCCATTTTTGAGAACAGGAACCAATATTTGCCAATCTAAGGAATAGCTGGGTCATGTCCCACAACAACTTGCTGACACAGCTGAAAGCAAATCCTCCAAACAAGAAGCTGCAGTTCCCATCTGGGTTGTTAAGCAGATCTTGTGCAGAAGGGCTGCAACTGTCCTACCAAGACCAAACTGAGCCGTCCTGAAGCCACACAGAGGGGAGCGAGGCATCCACTGCCCTCCTCTCCTTGAATAAAGGCAACATCAAAACCCAGGGCTGCCTCCCTGGCAGGGGATGCATTGCCATCCCACAGCTGTGCTTGCACCAAGAGGGACTTAAGACTGAATAAGTCAGAAACAGAACCTCTGCTTGAATTATTCTTTAATTTGGCAAGCTCACACCTGCATCTTAACACTTTTATATTTATCTTCATACTTCTAGACTCAAAAGACAAAGACTTTAAGAGAAAAAAAAGAAAAAAAAGGGAAAAAAAAGGCCAAAATCAGTGTAGAGATGTGTTCACATCTCTATATAAAAAGCCTGTTGAACTAATCAAGGCATTCCTTGGAGCACACAAGAACTGTGGCCTTTCACATCACTCAAGCAAAGGCCATTCTACTATGGGCCCAACTGTAATACAAAATAATTATGCCCATGCAAATTCAGATCTTGAAAAATTAAGGATTCAGATCCTCACTGGCACACTGAAAATGTGTTTGAAATGTTCCTGTGTCCCAGGATAACAGCTGTGTAATTATGCTAAGCCTTTCACACTTTCTCTTTTAAGCCATTAGATTTATTTACCAAAATCACTGCATAGATATGCCCAGAAAATATATTGGAGAACTGTTCAAAACTACATTTAAAGCTTAAATATAGAGGTTCTCCCTTCAACAGGTCCTGGCTTTCATTAAAACTGTTAAGTTCCTGGGACTTGGTGCCCTACAGCCCCTCTAAATACTCTGATTCCTTGAATGCACCGTGGAGATTCTAATACACATTACACAAATAGAGCTACTATAAAATTCCTGACTTTTCTTGTTTGCATGACAAAGGCAGAATGGCAAATCCACCAATTGGACCGGATAATCACTCTCCTGTGAAAAGTCTGCAATCCACATCCTCTGTTTGATTCCTAGCTGAGCCTCAACTATTTGTTCCAAAAATTTTATTTTACGTGTGAAGTCCATAAATCACCATCCAATAAACATTAGACAGGGAAGGGATTTCATCCTGGCAGCTCAGACATCAGCCACAGGAGAAGTCTCATCCAGATCCAGAAATAAAGACTAACTGGACAGAGGTTTACAGGATTAGGCCTTATGACATGTTTAAAGAGAGACCACTACGAATGCATGAGCTGTAATTTTTCGCAGCAGGTGACCCTCACAACATCAACATGTACCAGCATAACAGTGTGCCAGTCAGGGACGTGCCACGTAGCTGGAGATGCAGCTGGAGGGGACAGCAGGGCAGGCAGGGCCTTCCCACGGGGCTAAGAGAGTCACAGAGATGCCAGCAAAAAAAAACTTCCCTCCTCTTATTTGCAAGAGCGGAAGTTTCTGACATGAGTTAGAGCTGATGGTCAAATGAAGTGGGTAATTTTCACTGCTTTTAGTGCCTTGGGACTGAAATAATATCACAGAAAATAATAATTTGTTCTGAGAAAGATGCTAAACAAAGAATTAAAGCAGACACTGCTGTGGGCCATGCACAATCGATGCGTTTATAGTCACATTAGAATTCAGTTGAACCCAAGAAGGTGCCCCGTTAACATCTAGTGGAGACTTCATCATATTTAGGGAGGCAATTTCTTTAAGAGGCTCCAGAGGCAAAGCAGCCTAACCAGAGGTGGCTGGCCACGCTCTCTCTGCAGGCTCTGCTGCCTTCCTCCATGCCCCAAGCAGGCTGCCTTGGCTCACTCTTGCCTGAAGGAGAGATGAACTGCTCCAGGGTGCTTTTGTACAAGTTCAGTTGCTTGTTTCTGCGGGAGAGGATGAGAATCTGCCCCTAATGCTGTGCTCCTTAAGACTTTCATCGATCAGGTTCTGCTTTTTCAATTCCCTTCTCCTGGGATTGGTTTCAAAAATTGATTCCTTCATTTTATGTCAGCAAAGGCCAAGGAAGCAGAGGATGTGAGCTCCAAGTTTAAAGATTGACTTCTAGAAGAACTAGCAGCCCCTGCAATCCAGCCTCCGCTTCAGCTTTGCTCTCTAGAGACAGCTCTCCGTTGTGGTTATTGATGGCACTCAAACACCAACACTTGTTACCTGTGTTCTGGAGAAGCAGTGTGGTTTCTCACCTTCACTGAGGGATTATATGCCTGTATATAAAGCCATCTTCTTTTAAGCACACATATAATTAAGCACTCGGGAATCCATAAAGAGTGACTGAACATTTTAGCAAAACACCAGCCCTGTACATCTTCCACCTCCTGTGATTCAGAGGCAGTGCAAAAGACCATAAACCATTCAACCACCATGACTTGATGCTGTGATTCATATGCTTGATACATATAGTCAGAGATCAAAGCCCTCCACCCCCCAAAAAATATATATATATTTTATTTAATGTCTGCCATAAAGGTGGACATTCAGATGTAGCTTTATTCTCCTGACGGATATTGGCCATTTTAGTTAACAACTCTACAAGGGTAAAGATCAAGGCTTCCTTTAAGAGTTGTATGGTGCAGCACTGACAGCAATGTAGTACTATGTATTAATACAAATGTATAGTACAGATGTATTTTCTGTCTGACCCAGACCAAACAGGAGACCCTGCTTGCTCAGGGGACTTTGGGGCAGAACTTCACAGGGAGTTAAAAAAGCAGGGAAATTTCTTCCCCGTGAAGGAATCTCGTTGCTCCCCTAAACCTTCTTGTATCGGCTTGGCGGTATGCGAAGGTGTTAAACTGGCATGTGTCTATCAAGGGGCGGGGGGGCGATCCTTTCAAGTCCTCTGCTTCATCCCCACTTGTGGAATTTGTTGTGCCAGTGGGACGAGGCTGGCTATAAAACCTCTGTCCTGCCCCAGCAGCCTGCGAGCACTCCGCAGCCCCAGTGACATCCCTGCTCTTCCCTGCGGGGCCGCTGCCGGAGGAGGATGGAGCCGAGCTTTGCCCAGATGCTCTGCACGCTCTGCCTGGCCACCACAGTCTGTGCCTTCACCCAGGAAGAGTTCAAGGAGGTGCTGCTGAAGCAGCTGGGGCTCTCCGAGGTCCCTAAGCTTCACAAGAGAGACCTGGTGGACCTGGTCATCCCAGAGCACGTGAGGAACAAGTATATCTCCATGCTGAAGCGCCACAGGGTGAAGCGCCGTGCCTCGCCGAGCCTGGGCAGCATCCTCCGGGGAATCCCTGGCAATGCAGGTAATGTCCCTGCACGCGGGCAAACCCACGGGGGAATGAGGTTGGGGTCTGGCTTTGAAGAGGAGTAGGGTGGAAAGCATGCGTGTAGCAGCAGCGTAAAGATTAACACGTGTCAGCGGCTCGTCACAGCTGAAGAGGGGACCCCACGGTCCTGGCAAAGGGCAGACTGCTGCTGGCACGTGAGAGAAAAGTAGTCCTAGTGCTCAGGAAGCATTTGGGGAAGATGAATTAATAAATAAATAAATAAATAAATAAATAGTTAGTTAGTTAGTAGAAAGTGCAAACCTTGCAGTTTTTTAGTCAAAAAGTCCTTCAGAAAGTCCTCTTCTCATTCATGTAGGAACAGGTGTGATATGTTTTTTGAGGATATTTCACTCACCCTGGTCCTTTCATTTTGCTTGGGAAAATTATCCACAAGGAAATCTGCTGTGCAGACACAACAGAGTCTGTGCAAGGATGCTGCAAGCTTGCTTTACTTTTAATAGACACACATAGCATCCTGGGCAGCAAAGGAAGACACTTTTTCATCGCAATTTGTGCAGTTTCCTGCTTTCACACACAGTGTTGGCACAAAGGGATGCACACCTTTTGGTGTTTGCTCCATTTAGGGGTGAATTATATAGATTTCTTTCCATTGTCACCAAGTTGCAGAAGAAGAATTAGGGCGGTGGCAAGACCTTGATTCAAGTGCACATTAGAAAAGGTGTGTTTAGTGGCTGTCTCTACCACAAGGGATCATTTTGGGAGCATGCAAGGAGTGTGTTGTGATGATAATTGCGGATGAGGTACAGAGGATGGCAATGACACACTGTCTTTTTTTGTCCAAAATGTGTGCAGACATTGGGGGAGATGTCCTCTATCCTGACCCCACACGCCAGAACCTCGTCTTTGACATGGAGGGGAGAATACCGATAAACAGCGAGGTGACAATGGCTGAGCTGAAACTTTTCAAGAAGCCCTTGGACAGGGCAAACCTGCCTGCTAAGCAGTCTCACAGGCCTGTCTCCAACGCCAGAGTCAGTGTCTACTGGGTGCAGCGGCAGCGTGATGGCACCAACAGGACCTCCCTCATTGACTCCCGGTAGGTTATGGGGTGCCAGTCCCTGGGATGGGGACAGGTGCCACTGGGTGTGCCTCTGGTCTGTCCAGTCTGGGTACATCTGTAGAACTGGGCTGTGTGGCCTCTAAGGCTAGAACAAGCTGATAAAAGCAGATATTAAGTTAAGCCTGCAATATGCAATAATGCATTAAAGTGAAGCATTTCTGTGTCAGATGATGGTCTTCCCTTCTGACAGTCTCCATCTGACTTGCTTACCTCTCAGTCTAACTCTCAGGGGTTACTGGCTTTAGTAACCTGGCTATAGTCTTTCCATTGGCCACCTCATTAGCTGCTTTCAATAAGTAAATTATGCAAAAAGCATGTTTCTGCAGTCGAAAGTTTCTGAAAACATTACAACCCTTGAAGGCAGAATTAGACATCAAACCAACTTTTTGGGTGGGCAGGGACTTGTGACCCTAATACAGCTAGGAGAGGTGCAGGTGGGAGTAGTTAAGTTTACCAGGCTGCTGTCACAAGCACTGATGCTGCGTATAACCCTGCACTGCTTGTATCAATACCTTAGCACAAGCACACACAAGGGTTTTTGTTTTTCCCTTCGGTGTCTGCTAGACTTGCATTATTTGTGTGCTTCTTTTAGTTAATTGCTGTGGGTGCTTGCCCAGAGCTGCTCAGTAAGAGTTGTCATGCAGCTGAGGCACATGGCAATGCACAGGGAGCGAATTACTCGGTGGCAACAACAGCACCACGAGCCCAGGCTTTATCTGACGGGCTTTTCTCTGACGGGCAGGCTGGTTCCAGTGCGAGAGTCGGGCTGGAAGAACTTTGACGTGACACAGGCCGTGCACTACTGGCTGCGAAACAAGAGGCAGGAGCCCATGGTCCTGCAGGTCTGGATCGAGGGGGAGCGAGTAGGCAGTTACGCCTCGGAGGTGGCCAAAGCAGTGCGCTTCACCTCGCAGGACCCCAGGGACAAAGCCATGGGCAAGCCCGAGCTGGTGGTTTATACCCTCGACTTGGAGGACTACGGGTGAGTATGAAACCGAAATCCGTGCAACCTTGACCCTGAGTTACCATACTCACTTTGTTGCCTGAATTTTCAAAGCAAACCTGGGCATGGTCCAAGCATCATGACTCAGGGCCAGTCTCTGCCCTCAGCCTTCCTGATCTCCTGTTGTTTCTTGCTTCACACACAGGGGCCCCGGGGACTGCAAGGATGGCATGGTGACGGGGAAGTCCACCTGCTGCCGTCAGAAGCACTACATCAGCTTCCGTGAGCTCTCCTGGACACAGTACTGGGTCATTGAGCCAGCTGGGTACCAGGCTTACCGGTGCCAGGGGGGCTGCCTGCAGCCCCCCAGGTCCCTGCAGCACTTGGGGGCTGGGGGACGTGCCTGCGCTGTGGCCGAGACCTCCTCGCTCCCTGTCATGTACCTGGTCAGGAGGGGCAACCGCACCGAGATTGAGGCAGCTGAGTTTCCCAACATGATCATCGAGAAGTGCAGCTGCATGGCAAATGGTGCGGCGCTGGTGTGAGGGACAGATGGATGGACAGGACTTGTGACACCTGTGGGCTCAGAGGAGCATCCATCCTCACCCAAACCTATGTGACTTACACCTCGCTGGATTTGGTGGAGCTGCTTCCAGGTTATTTCAGTCCCCACCCCAGGGTACTGCACACAGCTGCAGGCAAAAGGCAAGGACAATGATCGCTGCCAGGTGCAGAAGTCACACCTGGGTTTGACTTTCAGTTCCTCAGCCTCCAGCGCTCTGTGAATTTTGGTCCTTGTTTGTCCAAGTCACGTTTATTGTGGATTACAGAGCAGAAGCACTTACATGTATATATTGTATACACACAATATACACAGGTATCACACACATACATATATGTAGTATACAAACATATGTATTGTATACATGCATATTGTATATATACATATTGCCTACATACATACATATATGTACATGGAATATTGTCCAGAGCTCAAAGGAATTTATATATATGTGCATATATATTGTATGTATGTATACTTATATATAAATGTACATATGATATTGTCCAGAACTCAAAGGGTAATATTTTTCATCCCTGTACTTATGGCTTGGCACAGTTTTAGGCAGAATTTAGAGTCCTGATGTCAATAGGCATGTTACAAACCATGACTATGTTTTGCTTGCACGAGTAGCAGTTTGTAGAATCAGGCCCTTATTTTTCTGATTGTGTATTACAGGTTTTTTTTCAATTAAGGGCTATTTTTCTAGTCTTAATTGCTTTCAACAACAAGAAAACAATAAAGTATTATTATTACAATATCCATTTGTTTGCATATAATTATTCCTAGGTGTGAAAGCAGAGGAAAAAAAATCAGTGATATTTCTGAATGTATCCCGCTGTCCAGCTCCTACAAACATGCACCCGGTAACAGCCCGCTTACATGCGCGTCTCTGCCTGCTCATGATAAGATTATCTGCCCATGCAGGCAGGCACAGGGCTGAGCTGCTGTGGAGAATACACCACCGCCACTGCTCCCCATGCTTCTGCAGGGTATAAGCTAGTACTTTTATGAGGAGAAATTCCAGAAACTCATCTGAGAGGCAAGCGATGACGCTCTCTGTGTGAGCTGCAGCAGTGCACCCTCAGGGTGGGCAGGCAGCAAGGTAAGCCTATAGTCCTATAACTATAGTCCTGGATGAGATAGGCTGCCTCCCACCTCTCCTGTCCCCTGGTGAAGTGCATTAGTCCTGGCCCTTCCTCATGGGCACCTCAGTAGCACATCTCCCAGCGAACAACAGTGATAATGTGGCATAATTTTTTTTTCTTGAGCTGTATAAAACACAGAGTCACAGAATATCCCAAGTTCGAAAGGACTCACAAGGATCATCGAGTCCAACTCCTGGCTCCACACAGGTCTACCCCAAAGTCAAACCATATGTCTGAAAGTGTCCAAATTCTTCTTGAACGCTGTTGGGTTTGGTGCTGTGACCACTTCCCTTGGGAGCCTCTTCTATTTCCTGACCACCCTCTTGGTGAAGTACCTTCTAATATCCAGCCTGAACCTCTACTGACACAGCTCCGTGCCATTCCCTCAGGTCTGGTGACACCAGAGCGGTCACCAGAGAGAAGAGGTTTTCTCTCTGGGGTCACCAGAGAGAGAGAGGTAGGTGTCGATCTCTTCTCTCTGGGGTCACCAAAGAGACCAACACCTACCTCTCTGCTCCCGGTTGTGAGGAAGCTGTAGGCTGCAATGAGGCCACCTCTGTCTCTTCTTCTCTAGGCTGAACAAATCAAGGTGCTGGCTGAGCCCACTGCTGGTGGGAGGACTCCTACATGAGTTTGGCTGGACAGGGAGCCCAGGGGCCACAGAAAAGGTGAATCTTGCCCCAGAAGTTTGTGGAGTCTCTTTCCTTGGAGATACTCATATTCAAAAACATGTTCCAGGGCAGCCTGCTCTGGGTGACCCTGCTTGAGCAGGAGGGGTAGACAACGCGGCCTCCAGGGGTGGCTTCCCACCTCAGCCACCCTGTGATTCTGTGGGGACTGGGGCCTGCAGGACTCAGCAGCGGCATCAGGCTGTCCCCCATGGAGGCCAAGGTGTCGGGCGTCCCTGCCACCCTGCACGAGGCCAGCTCCGAGGACACACAGCCATACAGGCCTCCCCCTCGGCCTGTAGGTGGGCTGGCACCTTTCACTTCTGTAAACACTTGTAACAAAGCAAAGCAAACAAATGATAGCTTTAAGGGGAGTAAAAATGGCAGGAGCATGGATTCACCAGTGCCAGCACCGGGCACGTAGCACCAAGGGTGACTTGGATCTGAATCGGAGGAGCCAGTTTGGTCTCAGCCATTTTCTCCTCATGGTTATAGGGTGTCTGTCTCAGTGAACATTCAGTCCTGGTTCCTCCCCACCCAGCTGGGACAGGGCACAGCCAGCTCAGATATAACTGTGAGGAACAAAGCAGCCAATATATCTGCACACTGCGGCTCCTGGGGAGGACAGTGTTTGAACTGGTGTCTGCATGCGGAGGAAAAGCATTAACCCTGGTGTCCCTCCAGCCATCAGCTGGACCTGGGGCATCCACCCCAAGCCTGGGAGAAATCACATGCCATGGGGCCAGGCAGGCTGGAGGCACCAACCCCGTCACCCCCACCATCACACCCAAATACCACAAGCACAGTACTGATGCATCATAAGACACACAGCATGTGATTCTTCTGAGCAACCCCAGCTGGCTTCCCATGGAAAACGCAGCAGGCTGGAAGGTGGGTCTGAAGGGATGTAGGGTTTCTGCAGCACAGAGGCTGTGGGTTTAAATCTTGCCCCATCAGGGGCTTCTACAGACATTCACCAGTGCCACAGGGGATTATCTCCTGGCCTGCCACCTTCAAGGCAGGCAGTGTTTGCAGTGATACCTTGTGCATGCTGTCTTGCTGCGTTTGTATCTGTGCAAGCTGTGACAAAGGCTGTCAAGCTGTCCTGTTATTCCTCCTGCCTGAGCGGCAGCACAGACTGAGGAGACAGAACACCTTATGTACATGGTGACAGTTTGTTTCATTAGCATTGATGTTCTGCTGGGAAAAAAAAAAAAAGAATAAATGGAAAAAAATTGAAATAAAATAAATGGACAATAAATGGAAATAAATGGAAGAAAGGAAAGGAAAGGAAAGGAAAGGAAAGGAAAGGAAAGGAAAGGAAAGGAAAGGAAAGGAAAGGAAAGGAAAGGAAAGGAAAGGAAAGGAAAGGAAAGGAAAGGAAAGGAAAGGAAAGGAAAGGAAAGGAAAGGACCTATCAATCTCATGAAAGCTTTTCTTATGATGCGGACTTGGGCAGGTCAGCAGCACATTCCTATGGCAGGAACTTTCTCCATTACCGTTACATTTTAGGAGAGATAACAGGTTTGAAGCCATACTAAATGCCACTGCTAGCTGAGTCAAATTGCCCTGTCTAATCCTTCCACATTTTCACTCAAAGGCTGCCCTCCCATTTTCTTTTAAAATCTATGATAAGCTGCAGCTTCGCCCTTCTGGTGAGACCTCATTTCCTTTCCATCTCTTTTTTTTTCTTTCCCTTTGCGTTTCACAAACTCCTACAAAGAGTGTCTGACACTTGGCCTTTCAGGGCAGCCTCCTAATTGCTGGGGTAAGTAGAAAGTCAAATTCCCAATCCACATCCCAACAGAGGTGATAACCAGGGCAGCTCCTCTAGCTTGGCTGGGAACAGCTGGAGTCTGGGAAAAGGGGACCCAAGGCAAACAAACAGGGGAAGTGATAGGTTTTCAGGCTCCTGTGTGATCCCTCAGAACTTTGATATTTTTAAAGACCCACCCAACAGTCTCAGCATCTCCTGGTTTTTGCATTAACTTAACATGAAGTTAACTCCTGTGCAAAGATGGGCAGCCAGGATCTGAACGCCTCTGACCGTTCCTGCAGCAGGTGCAGGAGAGCAGCATGCCCACCACCAGCACTTCTCTGCTGGGCTGCTTGGACCTGCACACAGCCACAAACTGGGTCTGCACCCCAGGGCCTCTCCCCTGACACAGGCAGCAGCCATGGTCATGCTCCACAGCAAAAACATCAAATTTCATGTTAAAGGTACTCCTAATTTTTATTTGCCTGCTTTTTAACTCCTTCTGATTCTCTCAGTGATCATATATCTGCCCTTTTGAAAGTTCAGGTGTGCATATTCCCTTTAAAAGTATTTTCTGTTTGCTGGAAAGTAACACAGGTCGTAATTGCTGTTTCTAAGGCAGCAGCCAACTTCCCACCCTGTGGCTAGTGACTGTCATCCTTGGGAGGTCTCAGATAATCATCTTATGCTGAATACAGCATCACACAGTGCATATGGCCTCATCCATAACCACCAGAAATCCAGTGATGTTTTCAGTGAGTTGTGGAATACTTGCAGCAGATGTTTCATAAGTCAGCTGGTGCCTTATAAACACTGCTCTGCTTTCCAGACATTACAAGCAGCTGAGGGGTTTCTTGCTCCCTGTTGTACTCCCCCACAAAGCAGTCAGGGCTTACAGTCTCTTCTTTTTTTCAAAGGGCTGAGGGTTTCACCAGCACTGCCTGGGACAGGACACATCCTCCTCTGTTAGTCCACTGCCACCTACAGTAGCAAGTGTAAAAGCTGTCACGCTCAGAAAAACAAGGAGATTACTGCATGCTCTGTGCATGTTTGCTACCAGTGCTAGCACAGGGACGTGCGTGTCAAAAACACTGCAGTAGCTTTTCAGTAACTCATCTGTGTTGCAGAAAACTGTAGCAGAAGGAAATAAAGAGCCTTTTGACCGAAGGCAGTCAGCTGTTCCCATGTCTGCTGTTGGTCATCTTTGTAAACTTCCCTGAGTTATGTTTCTGTACCTCAGTTTAGAAAACAGACATAATCAACCCTAATCTTACAGTGCTCTTGTGAATGTAAGCTCTTCAGGACTTCTTACACTGCTGAGAGATCCCAAGATGGAAATTATTTGTGGAAATCAAAAACATCATTAAGTGAAATTAGGAGGTTTTATGCGATATGCAATTTCCCTAAAGCTTTTTCTTGTGGGATAAGAGGGATAAAAATACCATTTTTCACTTAGCAGTGTGTCATTCATGTTACAGGAAAAAAAAGGCAGAAAACATTACTCGGGTTTAGCAATGAATACTCCTGTCTGGCAACACTGGATGACCCAGAGTTGTTTTGGAACTGAAGCTCTGAGTGACCAGCAGACCAAAGCCTTGCTTAACAGCAGCACAGGAGACATGTTCTAATTCTGAACTTGCTAGCCAGAAGCAAATTCTTACCAAACCTGCGTATTTCACATGGCTAATGAATTGCCCTGTTCCTTGCTATTTTATGTGCGTCATATGTACTTAAATTTCCTTCCAGGGAATTTAATTCCTTACATGGATCTGTATTAGTGAAGTAAAAGCTCTTCCCTAGGTTTGCGCCACTATTTTCTCTAATTCTATCAACAGTCAGTAACTCTGAAATACAAGAGAAACCCAAGACAGTGCTCTAGTTCTTTCAGAAGATTTTTTATTTATTTTTTTAAAAGCAAAGTAAAACACTTCAGAAGAATTCTGCAAGACACACTTCTTGTTTGTTGGTGTTTGCACAGGAGCACAAACCCTTTCTTTGGACAGACGTTCACAGTCTTAATGTGTTTATAACCAGAAACATGTTTTGAAATCCCAAGCTGCATTACTCATCGGAAAGATAAAGATAAAAGCAGGAGTACCGTATGCTCTGCATTACCCTCTGGTCCTGCACTAGAAAAGATCACCTTTATTCTGAGGCCATTCTGTACTATATGAAACAACCCATTACACATTGGAATGGCTCTAATTTATATCTAATTAGTAGCTGCTGAATTCTTTCTTCTGTTATCCAAATACTTCAGAAAGCTTCAAGCACTTGTTTCTGTTCTGCTGAAGAATCTGAGTCCTGTCTGTGATGCAGCTCATTTCTGAAGGATACCCAATTGTCACATGGAAGTGAAGCACTGCCAGTGAGTGCCTGTATGACTCTCTAGATGCAGTATTGCTCAAGACTAACCCTGTATGCAGACATACTCCCAAACAAGTGCTTGTTCCTGTTTAGCTCAGCAGGATCTAAGCGATTACAGAATAAATGTGCCTAAGCACCGAGCTGGTTCAAGGTACACATAAGCCGTTATCCTAACAACACAGAGAGGAAGGGTAATTCTTCTAATTCTGGCGCTACTGAAGACAATTTAACAAGTGTTTGGCACTACTGCTGGTTGAAGATACTCCAGTTTTTCTCCGCTGACCAATGTTTATTCCCTACTCTACAGAACGCTCCTTTAGTTATGCTGGCACAAATTTGGTTTGTGCTGCACTCTATACCCCATTAGGGAACAGATTTGTTACAGCAAGGAAACCGCAAGAAATGCAAGTGGATGATAGTGCATGGGACAGGCTTAGAGGAGGCTGAGTCACTGCAACTGAAGCAAAAGTGCAATTGCAGCAAGGGGAAGTAAGTTAGGCAAGTGATGTTACCCACACACATCACTAAATTGGCCTATTCCATTTTGGCCCACACTATCCCTTGCCATACTACAGAGGAGCTTCAACACATTCACATGGCTAAGGCACTGCTGACACACCTCGTTTGTGTTTTTTTAAGAACACTAAGCATACTGATAGCTTGCCACCCAGGTGGGACTGCTGCTGATGTGTAACACTCTTCATTGAGTGATTCACAGCAACCAAACTTCACTACGTTGAGGTGACCTTGTAGGTATCCTCTAATCATTCCCTAATGAAACATACTCAGTAAACCAAACCTTTCTTAGCCCCCACTTGCCATAATTTGTGTTTTCAGAACACTCCATCAGGTGGATCCATGAGGGCTGGATTTGTGTATGATGATGTAATTACCATGACTGCAAATACCTGCCTGTCCATTTCACACCCAGTTGAAAGACCCAAAAGGGCACTAAGGACTTGTACGGAATATACAGCACTTTTACAGAATTTAAATGCACCAAATATGGTTCCAACTGGTGAGTAGACTCAAATCCATTTCACAAGTAAGACAAAACAAAGCACAGAAGTGTTTTTGACTTGCCTACCAGCTGCTGCATTAGAAATAAATCCTGCACCTCCCAGTTTCCACACCTTTCTTCAGGATGACTCGGCACCATCTGCTGTGAACTGGAATATATGCAGGAGAACAGAAGACCTGGCTGCCAGGTGAGTTGAGGATGCTTGCTCACACCCAGGCTGTCCCTGACCCTCAGCGACACCTGGAGGAATGCTGGCATCAGGACTGCTCCCTTGGGTGATCAGAAGTGACTGGCAGATCTAGCAAGGACCTAATTCTGACTTCAAATCCCTTTGCAGTCCTGGCAAGTCACAGAACAGGTCCCATCAGTGACTGAATACAAACTGCCAGATTAATCAGCATGTTGGAGCAGCTGCATGAACACAGCTGTTTTAGGAGCTCACCTCTATAGTTTGTCAAGAAAAAACCTGAAAGACTGACAGATGTCAGAGAAGGAGGAAAGTAAATTTTTTTTTTCAGGTCTCTCCAAGAAAATCATCACAAACATAGTATTCTCCAGTATATAGTGGTAAAATCTGAGGCACCAAACTGAACACTACTTAGAAACCTGTGAAACAAAGGAAGTGGCAGCTGCACACGCAGTCATGAAAATATGCTGCCCTTCCAGCAAGGGTCCTTCACACCTCAGGGTAAATCCGGCACTAAGGTTACAGACACTATTCTAGGATAAAGCAGCACTATTGCAGATATTCAAGTCCTTGAGAGATTATTCCATTGCTTTTACCATTGGAAAAAAAAAATAAAGCCTGTTCTAAATTTCTCATTCAGGTTCAGATGATCACTCATTATCTTACCAATCTTCAGCAAGCAACAAATGTAATTTATTTTTTAATTTCTTAAGGATGTAAATCTTTTTCCTCACTCAGAGACTTTTCAAGAACAAAAGTAGTAAATTTCTTTATTTATCTAGTTCTTATAAAAGAAATACTTATACTAATTAGTAACCGATATCATATCGATACCTGACATCTCACAAATTTACAGAACAGTATTTATTTATACTGACCTCATCCATATAAAAATGTTCTTTTTATATAAAGAAACTTCAGCTTTTAAGCCTAAATAACAAGTTTGATGTTTATCTCTTGACAGTTGTAACTGTGCTATCTTGAATACATAACAAAGGAGACTCAAACTAAAGCTAAGAAAGGATTGATATTTCTCAAAATAAGTGACAGCAGTGTCATAGAATCATCAAATTCAAGATATTCAGGTTATTTCTTCCCATCTGCAGCGATTTTGTTCTGTTACATTAAGACTTGTTATAACCATTTGTAAAGGACACTGTATCACTCCTTTATACTGAGCACAAAACTAACTCGCTGTTTAGCAACTTACTCTGTGTTAACTAAACTTCATTAAAAATAGAAACAAATCTATCTGGGGATAACAAAGAATTCTATGTGGCAATGCAGAATGGAAATAGAATAAAGAAAACAAGTACGCAGACAAAATAATTTAAACTTTTGCTTTTTTCCCTTTAGGTGGCTTTGCAAATAAGGAAGGATTGATCTGGTCTCTAGTGAGACCTCTCACTGAGAAAAGCCTTGCTGCTCGTTCCTGTAAAGTGCCTCCACATTTCAGTCCTAAAGCCATCAATTGCATCTTCAGTTTATCTAAACCCAGCACTTCCATTTCAGCAGCAGAGTTGAATGCGAGTAGGTCTATTGGTTCCACCTCCTGCAAAGAGAAAAACATCCAATATCACAATTATTTTCTTCCTGACGGAGGGAGGGGGGACAAGTATAGACAAAATGCTTGATTTTGCAGAGGACCTTAAATTAGGATTATCTCAAAGTCTTTATTCCTTTACTTAATGAAGCTGATCTATGTTTCCATATATGTTAGGCTGGATATTCTCTTTATTAGCAGTATCTGTTTTATCCAGGCAAAGCGTTACTGCATCACGTGCAAGCAAATTTATGCTAGCTAGCAGCTTAGCCTTAAAACATGCACATCTGAACAGAAATGACACACCCAAGAGCAGGGTGAATGCCCAGGTGGGCTTCCAATGTCCAGCTGTGCTGCTACAATTCTACTCTTTGCAGTGCCTCTGCCAGCTAGTTAAAGGCTCACTCTAACATGTCTAGACAAGCTGCAGACAAGTTTAATCTTGCAACGTACACAGCCTCCAAAACAGAAGCACCACCCATTTTAAATAAGCATAGGTGATTTTTTTTAATTACTCCATTAGAATTAACACATTCTACTTGCAATAGCAGAAGGAAAAAAAATAAAAATGTAAGTGGCAGTACTTAAACCTTTTCCCCAGGAGAGAAAATAGATGGCACTTTTTTTATTCCCAGGGAAGTTAAGTACTTGCCAAAAAAAAAAAAAAAAAAAAAAGGCTAAAAACAACAGCCCATCACCTCATCTAGCAGCTCCATAGCTTAACCTTGGCTTCCAGAGTCATAACAAAGCTATCATCCCTTTTTTAATGACACGCAGAATACAACGATATGCCCCTATCAGTAGGGGGAAGGGGGATGAAAAATTAGAATAATTGTTCTAATTGCAGTTACACACTAGTTAAAGAAATAGGTACAAATAAGATTAATAAAAAAAGCTCGTCTCATCTTCACACATTAAAAGTTATGAAAGTTCAATCTTAAAAGAAAATTGGTATATTCACAGGATATTCTCTGGATTACCAACAAAGTTACCAACAGCAGGTTACCCAGAGTTTTGTCCACAGAAGAATGCAGATAAGGATGTTACAACTCAACAGCAGGAATTTACTAACACCCTGACTGCTAGCACACTAAGAAGGACAACAGAAAATCAACCACAACTCCTTCAGTATTTAAAGCAGCTATTAGTCTTGGGGCAAGTATAACACTGGAGGTATCAAAAGGACTTCGGAGCAAGTAGCATCAGCAGTGAGACTACTGAGTTATGAGCCCAACAAAAACAACTAGCACTAGCAGAACCAGAACCTTTGCCCTGCTAAGTGCACAAAAAAGGCTGGTTGCCTCATTATTCTAGTCCTACTTAAAAAAAAAAAAAAGAAGAACACACAAAAAACATCAAGGACTGTTATAAAAATATTTCCACCTGCAATAACAATCTGCCACTGGTGGAGTTTCCTGTTCTAAGAATAGGCAGCCTGACAAATACTAAGCAAAAGGTAAACAGTGGAGAACGGTAAACATCCATTTTAAAATGTCCCTGCTTTAATAGTACAATAGATGATCAAGTTCTAATTTATCAGATTATAGTCCCGATCTTTTTTTCCCCATTTAACTGTATTAAACCTTTACTTTTCAGAATTCAGCCATTGGCAATGGCTGAATTAAGGGGAAGCCTTCTGCTCTAGTTGAACAAAGGCAGAAAATTCAAGCAACTCTTCTAGCCTGAAAAAATACTTGATACATCATTTCCCTCTCCAACCCCACCCACCCCTGCCCCCTCCAAATGTTAGTATTATCCAAGGGACAATGAAGCACAAATACTGGCAACGTTTACTGCCAAATATTAGTTGGGCTTTCATCAATTCGGTGGGACAAGCTGCACTCTCTTCTGGTTGAAAGACCAATCCAAAGCCTCCACAGCAAAAATCCCTGTCATCCTCCTGCCTATCACCAGAGAATGAACCTCATGGTCAGCACTGCTCCTGATCCAGCTGAGGGTGCTTTGACACCAACCCAAATTGCCAGCAGGAATAATGGTATAGCAACAGTATAGAAGAGCTTCTATCACTGATACAGAAGATGATCGATTTTAAAGCCATTCTTCCACCATCCACTGCAAATTCAGGCAAAGCCTGTCACCTACATTAATCTTTCTTGTCTAGTAAAAGGCGCTGCTGCTTTCAGACTTTCACTGGTCAAATGAAAACTGAAATTTGCAGCAGACCAGGGTTCTCAGTAAGCTAGGCTCAAGTCTTTTATAAATAAAACACTGAGAAACACTGATCAGCTGATTGGTTTAGGGAGCATATACATGCAACAGCTTCTAATTTTAAAGTTTTGATCTTAATGTTTATAATTGACCACATTATAAGCAAGATTAATCAAGTTGGAGTGGTAATATCTCAAGAAGTATTGATAAGAGTCTTTCATCCTGCAGAATGGTTTTATTTTCCTCTACCTTCTGCATCAAACTCTGGATCCAGAATTCCTTATAACATGGAACAAGAAAAAACAAACAGAAAAAAATGCAGATCTTGGGAAAGACAACACTACACAGCCAAGGGAACTACATCTCAGTAGAAACTCTAAACTATTAAAAATCTTAATTTTGTTAAGTTTTGCCTTAACCCACTATATTTATGATCTCTCAAGACTGCCACTTTACTACAATTCTACTTCCTGCATGTGGAGCTAAGGGTTACCAGTGAAGAGACTGTTGGCTAAGAGCCTTACTTGGCTGCAGTTGCCATTATCTTGCACATTCCCTTTTCGTAAGTATGGAAACACGTTATCTTCAGTCAAGCAGTTTTTCCTTTTTAACCTTGGGATTTTTTGTGCTCTGTATCAAACACTGAAGATTCTGTTAGCTTCTTAGGTGGAGAATTATTCTAACTCGAGCACTTATATCTAATGCATTAAATTCAAATGATGCAGATCCTTTCCCCTTCCCTTTGTGGATCACAGAAAAAAAAGTGATCAAGTAAAAGCAACTGAAGAAAGAGACCTAGTATGTTTTGTACTGTTTCATACTTACTGTGCTCTGTGACTGGTCCATTTCCTGCACCTTAGAAGAAACATTTTCTTGCACCTCTTCTTTCACGGCTTGGGTTGCTTCATTGCTTTCCTGGGCCTCTTCCTTCTGGGGCTTTGTCATTTTGCTATTTTCATCAGCCGGAATTTCGGTTTGCCCACCTTCATGCATCTCCCTTTGCAGGTCTCTTCCACTAACTTCTGGCTGCTCCGGTGCCTTCTCAGCAACTGGACTGTGTTCTGCTGGATCCACAGGGCTGTTTGAACACTTGCTTGAATTTCCAGCATTTTCACTGTATCCGCTGCCTGATGGACAACTTTCATCAGATGCATGAGGGGAATCGTTTTCACTGTCATTCTCAGAATCTGAACTGTCAGTATCATCCAATCCTTCCAATCCCAGCCTGCAACAACCAGCACTTAAATATTTATCTAAACTTCACCTTCTTAATTCTAACCTTTTTCTTTACAAAAGTTGCTTCAAAGAGATATACTGAACTACTCTAGCAGGTATTTAGAATAGTTTAGTAAGATGAAGAGCTGCTAATATCAAACAGAACCTGACATCCCCCAAGAACAGGTGTATTTTAACAGCAATCCCAATACAAAAGTGTGTGCTACCTATTGCTACTCCAAGCACCACTGGAGACTCATTATGCCTTCTCTTTCATGTTACGTGAGGAAAAAACAGCTGTTGTGGTTTGAGGTTTGTTTGGTTTTGGTTGGCTGTTTTAAGTTCATTTAAATTGAATTTGTTAATGGAAAAAAAAAGAAAATGGGTGTTAGTAGAACATAACCATATTAAACAGGGCAGAAAAAAAGGATGCCTACTTTTGCAAGCAAAGTTTGCTCCTGCTGGGACAGAATTATATGAAACCATCAACATTTACTTAAGAGTTCTCACGTTTAATCAGTTACATTTACTAATTGCTATTTAAGTCTACTTCCTGGATGAGATGTTTGCTTACATTTATCAAATTTTCATTAAGTTCAAAGTCTTACGGAGTCATAGTACTTACAAAAAGCATTTTTTCTTTCCATATTTTGTTCCATTCTTTCCAGATTCACCTGGACGCTTCCGACTACTGCTGCTTCCTGGTGACACTACTTTGCTAGAAGTGGCCTGCAGTCCTACAAAAGGAAGTCAAAGTCCACTTTGCTGATACACAATTCATAAATAGAATTTAAAACAGGCCTCTTTTATTTCAGATGCAATATAAAACACTCACTGGAAATAATCACTGTCAGTGCACATTTATGGAAATTCAAAGCTTCAACAAATTCAGCAGCAACAAAAGGTTTCTTATCCTGCTTTACTAAGATGGAGTTAATCTTAAAATTGGATTCCTGATGTGAACTCTTAGTTTCTACATCCCATTCAGCCTCAAGTTTCACTATCAAGCTGCCAGCAAGGGAACAACCAGTGGATAAATAAAATAACTACAGAGAACAGTAAATGAAACAAGCTATTTTGTAGCTGTATTCCATTTCTAGTTTTCACATAAGACCTGATCAAGTATTGTCATTTTACTGAAAATGATTACGTAATTCTTACTGATGAAATACCAACACTACCTTCACAGAACTTTGATATTACTGTGAGATGACACTGTAGCACAGTAAGATAAAGTATCGCTAGAATCTGTACTACGCTGCTCAATGCAATTTAAGAAAAGCAGTAGCCAAAGAGGAAAAATTAATTCAACACATTTTACTGGAGTTTAAAATGTAATTCAACTGAAAGAGTTACTGTCAGCATTTTTTTCTTTCTTTAATTTTCATGCTGGGCTGCAGTCATAGGGACTTTCAATTTGCTTTATTTTTTTTGCAGAGATAAAGTGAAGCTAAACTGCAATACCTTTAAGGACTGAATCTTCTAGCCGCTCAGCCATTTCATGACACTGCTGCTGGTAGTCCGGATTTGTAAAGTAGTGCTTTGGCTCTGCAAGTTTCCGCTGCAGCCTTTCCAAGCGCCTTTGCTCTTTTTCTGCTTCCCGTTCTGCTTGCTGCTTCACCCATTCTGCCATCCTGCAGATTACAGAGCCATGAAAATGAGAGCATTTCCAACATTTAATGTAATATTCATTTGTTACTTTGCAATTACCAAATGCTGAAGAACAAAAACATTCATGGGAATTACTGAAAGAATATACAGAAAGTCTGCTAAAACGAAGAGAATAAACTTTATTCTGGAAGCCAGAAACAGCATGAAGGTCAACCTTCCCCAATATCATGGCCTTGCAGCTTCAGACAGAACTGTGAGACTTTCAGATTAGAAATCTAAGACGTGCATATCAGTCTTCTCTCAGAAGAAGGTCAGGGTACAATCACCTCTATTTTCCAATAATACATTAATGCCAAAAGAATGCTGTTGACTTCCTGCTCTAGGTGCCCCTGCTTGAGCAGGGGGATAGAACCAGTTTACCTCCAGAAGTCCCTTCTAACCTCAACCATTCTGTGATTCCAGTCTATCTGTGCTTATAGTTTCACTTTCAGTCCTTTTAGTATTCAAAGTAAAAATTCATTGCTGTAACAGCCTGTCATATGACCTCTTTTGTTAATAGTGAGTTACGCAGACACTTTATTTTATAATGCTAGCTTCTAAGAAAATGCCTCACGCTTTTTCATGATTGACATCTCGAAGTCTCCTTCCACTGAGATCTCGGCAAGCCTCTCTATTTGTTGTCTTTTCAATCTGTGCACCAAGTGCTCGCAGCATAGATCCAAACCCTGAGGAAAAAAGTAATCAAGAATTAGATAAACAGAAACAAATGGAGATGAGTTAATGCAAAACAAAAGAATTAACTATGGAAATATAGTGAGTTCAACACTTCTCCTTCCCTCAATGCTACTGAAATACGGGGTAAGTTGAATATTACAACACATTAGAAACGTCACCAAGTGACATTTTAGGAGTTAGCCATAGCCGCTTCATCAAGATGATCATGATGGACAATGTTATGCTGGACAGCCCCCCAAAATAGATTTCTATATGCTCCTCAGCACAACGGCTAACTTTTCTTACCAAGTTCCATCTTATGTTGTCTCAAATTTGAGAAAGACACTTAACAGCCTCAAAGAGACAATGTGGATTAATAAAATCCTTTAAGCAACTTGAAAGTACCAAGCACAGTTTTTCAATTAAAAGCCGAACACATCTGTACCATCAGTGCCCTTAAAGTACCTTTAAGAAGCGTTGCAAATATCAACCCATCCAGATAGTCTACTGGACCATGAGACAGAAGAAGTACTGTGTTCAGCTAATAAAACCCATTACTGCCATTGGCGATGAGAATTTATATAGCTCATTGAACACGCTATTGAATTTCACATTCTGAAGAGTAAGAACCTAGTTGTTACACCTAGCCAGACATGCTCCCAAAAATCAACAGCAATGAATTCATTAAGGTTGCAAGTGCTGAATTAGACCTGGTAATAGAGCGCTCAGTCTTCTTATAAGATGATAAGCATGTTCTGTAATTCTTTGAGATCATACAATAAGTCTTGATATTTCTGAACTGTGCCTGTATGCCTATTTTTAATCAGTCTTTTATGTTACAAAGTCAAATCAAAGCAGACAAAATTGTCAAAGAGCAATTTTTAAGCAACTCCAACAGCACATCAGTAACACAGAGTGAATCACAGCATGTGCATCCTGGGTCATCCCAGGATAACTGAAACTGACAGACAATAGGTGAGGAAGATGGCTGCTACACAATGAGCTTATAAAACATGCAATACTTTTAGGGCACCTAACCAACCAACACAATAGCTCATAAGCTAAAGCAGAAATATTTCTTTTCAGTTCTTTCTAAAACTATGAAGAAGGCAAAGCAAGCTGAGATGCAGTCTGATGCAAGGCTGCACCATTATTCAGCATTTTAGCTCAACGGCCAGGAAACTTCAAGAACTGGATTCAAAAAGCAAACGTACATGGACTTCATTTACACACAAATATACTCCGCTAAACTTGTTTCATCCTTCATGTTAGATTTTAGAGAATGCCTACATTGTCAGTGGCTGCATGGTTTTGTGTGATTAACACATCATCTACAACAACATTAAAATATTTTAACAATACAAGCAGCCTGTTTTAGGCCGAAATCTTTAGTTCTCAGGGTACTAAGACCTTGGCTTTATTTTTTCAAATAAGAAAAGACAAAATCAATTAAGTTATATAACATATTCAAGCCACAGACTATTTGTAGCTGAAATACTTGTCCTAAGTGACAGCAAGTGAAATTTAGGAGCCTAAGAAGCCTTTTAAATACAATTTTGATCCTGAATTCACTCAGAGGCACCTTACGGATTTCTGCTAGTAGAGCTACGCTAACTAGGGATGCAAAACAGAGCAGTGCCAACAACGGCTGTCACAGAATCACAGAATCATCTAGGTTGGAAGAGACCTCCAAGATCACCGAGTCCAACCTCTAACCTAACACTAACAGCCCTCCACTAACCCATATCACTCAGCTCTACATCTAAATGGCTTTTAAAGACCTCCATGGATGGTGACTCAGCCACTTCTCTGGGCAGCCTATTTCAATGCCTCACAACCCTTTCTGTAAAGAAGTTGTTCCTAATAACCAGCCTAAAGTAAACTCTCAGCCTTGGCTTTACTCTGTGGACAGCCCGCAATCATCTGCATTACGAGATATCTGCTACCAGATTACAACTTCTGATACCAGTATCGTTTAAGGTATGAAACAGAAAAATAAATAAATAAGATTTAAAGCCAAGACGTGAATTAGTAAGAGAACAGAGAGCAACAAACCTCCTTTTCCCCCACAAAGCCTCGTTTCCAGGCTATACACCATGCCATCTTGCAGTTCGTCGTCATCATCCGCCAGCCGCCCGTTGCACTTCACGTACAAACTTTCTTCGGGAATACACTAAAAAACAAACAAACAAACACAATTTTGTCACACGATCGGTTGAAAAAACGAAATAACCCGGCGAAGTAAGCCGCTAAGGAGGAATCAGAGGGGTTGGAAGGGACCTCCCCGCTGAGGCACGGAGCCCGAAACCCGGCCCCGTGCGCTGCCGGTGCCCGCTGCCCGCCTCTCACCAGCCGCCGGGCGCAGTCCCTCAGGAGGCCGCGCACGGAGCCGCCGCCGGGGGGCAGCGGCAGCGGCCGCGCCCGGGAGCCCAGCGGCTCCCTCAGCAGCGCCAGCGCCATCTTAGCCCCGCGCCGCCAACGGCCGCCCCGCCCCGCCCCGCCCCGCGCCGCGCTGCCGTCACGGGCGCGCGGTTGGGTGACGTACGGCGGGAAGGAGGGGGGGGGGTGAGGGCTGGTGCGGGGCGATAACGGGATGGGGATGTTGGGGATGGTGCACGTAGGGTCTCTGCCCTGTCTCTGGGTGGTTTAGCTATTTATTTATTTATTTATCTATTTATTTATTTACTACCCTAGGGGGCTTCCTAGTTGCTGGGCTTCCATTTTTTATTTTTTTTTCCAGGGTGCAAACCTCCCCAAAGGTTTCCTGCGTGTGTTGTATGTTATAACCTTCGGGGTCAAACTGACGTTTCAGTCCGCTCAGGGACCCAATTTATCATTTTTATCTGTGTGAGGTCATTCTGAGCAGTTAGGTGTTTTAACCGCTGGCTCATAGTGGTCGGTCTGGGGGAGTCTGCATTCACCGTGAAAACACTGCAATGTGAGGACCTTTCCTGGGAGGGAATAGAAGCTCGCAAGCAGTGACCTGATATTCTGCTTTAGGAAATGGCCCCGAGAATGGTTCATCTGGAGTGCTGCATAGACAAAATGCCCTGTCTGCCAGTGTGCGTGGCACACGCAATCTTAAAAGCCGTTTCCACCCCTTTTCTACACTAGATAATTGTACCTTTCTGATTCAGATTGATAAGTGCAGCCTACGAGGTTATAAAGGCTCTTTAAAGCGTGTCGCAGCGCCTCTGTGAGAACATAATAGCAGGCAAAATACACACTTTCTCTAAACACGCTTGTCTGATCTGCCGCTTTGGTAGTGGTGGCAGCAGCATGAGAAGTGTGGCAAAATACTGACAGTGTGGTGATTACAAGCAACGTGCAGCTGTTGTGTGTCCAATCAAAGGTGGTACAAATTGCAGGTAAGGAGGTGCAGGACGATGGATTTATTTGTCCTGCTCACTCCTACATGCATTTTAGCGTACAGTTAGGGAAGAGGCCTCAAACTCTGAAACCTGGGGCTGATTCAGCAGCATAGTTACATAAAATGCTTTTAAATCAGGATGAAATTTGAGCTCTTTGTGACAGACAGTAGCTACCCATAAGCAGGGGGTTCGAAGAGCGGTTAACAGAAGGTGTACAGCTCTATCTCTGCAGAAGGAGCTGTGTACAATGGCACGATGGAGATCCAAGCAGTGCAAGTATTGCATTCTTCAAAATGTGCTTCGAAATGTGGCTTCAAAATGCTTTCAATGTCTTCAATATAGCCATCTGGGGAGAGGATGTGTAAAGGTAGGCTGCTGCTGCCTGCCTCTTGTAAGGACTGTCGCAAACACCGGCAGAAACACAGTCAGGCTCGGCAGCCTCCTGCCCCTCTATGACTGCTACGACAGTGTCAGTCACCGAGAGCCGGGGCTTTTTGTGCAGATACAGCCACACAAATCTGGCCTGCGGCCAACGGATGGCTGATACGGTATTTCCAAGGCAAGAAACGGCCTCTTAGCTTCACGTATCGGTGGAATTATGATCACTGCGGGATGCAGCAGTGCATCCCTACACCCAAAGGGTGGAAGATGGGCAGAGTCGGTGCGATCTGAGCTTGGTGCGGTTGCTCCATGCCGCCGGCAGCGAGCGTGGCGGATCAGCCAGGCACACCTGCCGCCTCAGCCGCCTTCCTGCCGGGGGAGGCTCGTCCTGGCTCCCCAGGGCCGCCTGCAGAGGAGGCTGGACGGGTGCCGGGGGCCGGCGGCTTATCTGGCGCCGGGCGGAGGTTTATCTGCCTGCCTCAGCTCTGGGCCCGGGGGCTCCCCGGCCGCCCTGCAGGCCGTTAGGAAGGCAGATAGGCGGCCATGTCGGGGCCTGGGGCGAACTGAAGGTCTCAAGGCGGCTGTGCTTTAAAAGGACGGGGCTGGTCCACGCTTCTGGGCTGCTCTCGCCTGTGGGAGTGCCCTGCTGCTGGGCTGGGCTGTGTGGAGATGGGGCTGTGCTGCCAGGCGGCCCCGAGGGTGTGTGGCAAACAGAGGTGGCATGACCCGCAAGCGCGGACTTCACGTCAACAAATGCATAATCAATTAAGGGGATCTCCCCATGGGATCACCTTGGCAAATTAACAAATCAAACCTGGCCGGCTCCTGCTTACACTGTATTCGTTTTCACAAAGCATTTTGACCCAGTCCAGACACCCCTTTGCTGTCTCGCTCCCAAGAGCAGGTTGGTATTTCTGAACTGCGTGCCGTGTGGTCGCGGTGCGACCATGCAATCTGATGTCCCTGTAGCCAGGAAAAGCTGTGGTGATTTTGTGCTGGATCGGGCCCCAATTCGGCCCACGCTGTATTTTAAGTCACATGGTGCTGTTTGTTTCATTTATAACCACGTGCTTTATCTCTGGAATGCATCTAATATTGAATTCTGCTGGATTTTTTTTTTATTATTATTCATGTATCAGATTGAAATGTAATTGGCAATACACGAGTTATGCATGTATATGTATACACAGATGAGTAACTATTTTCTTAGATCTGCAGGCTTTCAGTTTGCATTCCAAGGGCATGATTCATTTCCTCCTCTGAAACTCCGGCTATTGGCACTGAGGGTGTGGAGCTTGCCAGTACAGGCCGAAGAATAGGCAGAGATATCCAGGAAAGAGTTGGGCTGCAGGACTCTCCGGTAGATGTGCTGAATCAGTGTAATTCACAGGCCATTTCTTATGTGTCTTTTCTGAATATTTTGTTCTACTCTCAGGTCTGTGCTGATGACTTCCTGGCCCTGGTAAGTGTTGGCTGAATTTGGCCTGCAGATGCATGCTGTAGCAGGAATGCACCTGTGAACGTGAAAGCTGACAACAGTGGAGTCATAAAATAAATCAGGCCCTTTATAGGTCATACATTGTCACCTCACGGGTAATTTGGGGCTGTTAATGTTGTACTGTCTGTAGTTCTGGGTGGCTATAGGTAGGTGACTGGCACAGATCCCTGCAACGAATCAGGCTGGAAGTGACATCTATTGGATAGAAGAGTAGTTTTCTTTTAGCTTAGTCTGGCAGCAGTGCTAGGTATTTAGTCCCTATTCGCATCATCTATGCGATACCATTTAGCTAGTGCAACATTACTGTCCCTAGGAAAGCTGTGTGAGTGTTCCTGTATCTCTTGTTCTTCATTACACTTCTATACCTAGAACTCATCAAAAGCACGTTGCCTTGCTCCCCACAAAACAGGTCTAAATAAGTCAAAAAGTCTGTTACTGTAATTTCCACTTTGAAATGTATTTTATTAGAAATCTTATCCCCTTGATAAAACAACAATCAGTCTGTTATTCTGCAGTGGTGCTGTAGAGATAATGAATCATGCCTAACGTCTTTCATTTAGAAGAGATTTTACAGACATAATTAATTAACTTGACACTATTGTTATAGCATAAGTAAGTATTCCAACTTTTAAATAGTGAAACTCAGGCAAACTGGTTACACCGCTTTCTCAATTCAGTGTAAGGACAATTGCTCAAATATGAAATTTCCTACTATTTTGACATAATTTTCAGAGATGAGAGCACCCATCCTTTTCTTATTTTATTTTGGGTACTGTGCATGTGATGCCTGAGTTATTGAGTGTAGTTCTATGGCCTACAACATGTAGTGTGCTAGACTATTTTCTGCTTAAAATCTGTTACTACATTTAACATGGAATAGAGTTTTCTTAAGTATTTAGTATCTAGAACCATCAGATGTATAACCATCAAAATGCTATTCACTCATTCATTCATCCTTACTACTTGTCCCAGTATATTCCATTTTAATAGTAGTAGCAGCACTTTACAGGAGCTAATAACTGCCTCAGTCAAGTCCAGGATTGCATTATGCAAGACTCTGCGCTGAGAGAAGGTGTACGATACTCATTGGTCCTTGACTTCTAATGTGCACAAAAAAAAGAGGGAAGAACATAGAAGCAGTTGTTCGCTGAGGTACCCAGATTAACAAAGGTTGGGTTAAAGGTTATTCTGGTAAGAATTCAATGTTTCCCACTTTTAGAAGTGTTCCTATACAGAGGAGGGAGAAGGGCTAAAAGGTATCACTTAAGATATGAAGTGGATGTGTATATTCCTTTTACAATATTGTAAGTGTGCGGAGATATTAACAAAAGTGAATCTGAAGTCACTTCAAGAATTTGAAATCTTTTAAGAATGGTTTTTCCATCTGCTAGACAGTCCATCATATGCTGTAGTACATGTGGAGACTGGCTCATCTGGATATATTTTCTTTTACATTTTAATGGTATCACAAAGTATAAGTTGCAGATAATGTATTTGCAAACCTTAAACATGTTACACATGTTATTTTTTCACAGGGGATCAAGATAGCATGAAGAGTAACCTCTGTGTGCACATTCTCATGACAATAAATAAGATGCTGAATGACATGAGAGAACATTTTTTACTTCAGATACTGACATCGTACTGTTTGACAAAAATGTAATTAACCGTAATTAATCTAAGTTGATATTTGCAAGTGCAGCTTCCTGCCAAATGTCAATAATCATCTGCTTCAGTTTTTTTGTCATCAGCACAATGGCTCGAGACAGCGTGTTATGATACCTGATGCTGGGTTGGTAGGAGCTGGGGGAGAAATACAGATATTGCATGACTTATATTACCCCTTATTAGTACAACAGCTTCTGTTGTGAATGCCTAGATATCAATTTCCTAACAAGTCTGTGTGAGTAACTATATTTTGTTCTTATAGATCACAGTTGGTAATGGTGGAGATACTTAGACATAATCAAGATTTAAAAATCACATCACAGTACTCCCTTTGCTGTGTATCTTATCTTTGTCTCCATCCTATGCAAGGATGTCTAAACTCGGTACTTTCAGGGAAGAAATATGCACTGCTCTGCATATGTAGGTAGTGAACCTGAGGAAATGAGGTCTGGTTTTGTCTGGCCGTGAGTATCACCAGCACAGTCAGCATTGTTTGTGGTGTTGTTAGTAATTTTAAGTTTGGCAGCAATGGTTTGAGGTGAATTGGCTAATTAGACACCCAGGTAATATTGCAGAAATTGATACTTCTCTGC